GCAATGCACAGAAGCATCTATGCTATATGTGAAGAGTCATAGTAAACACAAGAAACACTCTGTCAAGCATATGTAACATAATAACATAAAGGAACATAAGGGCACTTTACTGGTACAGTATCGGATAAACGTATATACATAAATTTACATATTTATTTGAGATGCATCTTAAAATGATATCATTTAAAAAAATACATGGCTAACCAGCCCCAAATAGTAACGGCATTGTCTTCTATAGCATTGTATACTCCAAAGGTCGACACGTTTCGCTTGTTAGCTTCTTCAGGACCCAAAAATTGGAGACGAAGAGATCAATTGCCTTAGCTAAGAAAATAGACATATATACACACACTTAAATCATTAATCATACAATATAGATTCCATGAAAAACCTTAAAAAAGAAACTGTTCTCCGCAAACTCACATATCGACTTAGACGGTGATGCAGGGCATAAGCACCCACACTGGAAGTCAGCAGAATGGTCTCAAGTGAGTATACATAGCCAACACCCCTCCCAATGTCCCAGGCCAAATGGTATCCTATTCCAAAGAGCAAAGAGAGACAAACCCAATGAAAGGGGAGATAAAAAAAGGGGGAGAGAGATGGTAAACCCAAGATACAAGCAACAATAAGTCACTTATTTAATCAGGAGACAAGTAATGCATATGTTCATATGTAGATTAATCCATACATTGTATATTCCATAGATGCGTTCATAGATATAATCTAGATATAACAATACATGAAAATCAATATGTAGTTGTCCGTTTCTAAGGGATTTCAAAGAATCCGGCACACCCTTCCCAAACACCTATCTAACACTCCTACCAATAGAGCAAGAGAAGGTGCATAGAAGGTCCAATGCCCAGCTTAACTATTTTGTGACATGAACCCACTCCTTTTAAGTGACCACATATATTAATACAAGATATCTTCTTTGTCAGTGGCTCCTGTAATAGAACAAAGAGAACCATGATCAAAAATCCCTCAATATCTTCTATGTCTATCTTGTCAACCAACATGTCTCATACCTCTAGATCACTTCATGTCATAATCCGCCCGCCGTATGTGCTTTCTGATGGTGCCAAGAGCAGCGTGCGCCAGGGCGCTTAAATGGCGTCATCCGCCGAAAACACATTATAATGCCTTACATCACTTCTGCCCTGATGAGGCACAAGGTGGAAGTAAACCACATCCACAATCGAAATCGTGCACCGCGTATGCACATACAAAGCCTTACATCACTTCCGCCCTAATCAAACACAGGGCGGAAGTGCAATACATCCATAGTCAAAGCGCGCCCAGCACATGCGTGCCCACACCAGAATGCACAGACCAGACTGGCTTCAAAATATTAACTACGGCAAACAGCGGTAAAACAGAACACTGCCAGGCCGCCACCACTTCAGCAGACCCTGGACTAAAATAGTCCAGTCTCCCAGATATTATCCATAGCCAGCAGCCCCTGTTGCTCATAATATCTTTTAACAGAAAGAGGGGGGGGGGGAGACAAAAAATATATATAACTATATTCCCTATAGATCAACATACACTCTATCCATAGTAAGAACAATAGAAGAGCAAGAGATATGAATGCCCACTCAAGACAGACAATCCAACCAATGCCAAGCAGCTACATCACCGTGCCATAACGCATGTTAGAAAGTAGAATGTGGAGAACAGCTTAATATATACATAAATAACAATGACAAATCCCCATAAAAACTTGTCATAAACTTGATGTATAACACCAGCACAGATATATATATAATATTACAGCATAGGAGATCATTTTATACTTCCCAAAGGGTATGCTCATAGTCAACATTGTCCTACTCTACCATATCTTACAGAAAAGGTATATAACTTAGTGCCTCATTTAGACCTGGAGGGGATGTTGCATTTAGAGTATAAATCCATCTCGCCTCCTTCTGTAGCACTCTTTGGTCAAAATTTCCTCATCGAGGGTCCTCAAATACCCTTTCTAGGGCTGCAAAGCAAATCATATCTGTGTTGTGACCATGTTTCAAAGCTACGTGGCTCCCAATGGGTGTATACAACACATTTCTTCTAATATAATAAATGTGATCATATATTTTTTTACAAAAATTTCTAATGGTTTTACCAGCATAAAAGGCACCACATATACATAGCATAATATAAACTACACCTTTCATTTGGCAGTCTACAAATTGTCCAGTCCTATGCATCATTCCATTGGGTAGGTGTATGGATGTTTCCTCCATTATCCAGGCACAATAATCACATGATCCACACTTATAAATGTCTTTTCTGTCCTCAGTGTTAGATGGTATATCACAAAAATTGCTCTTAACCAGGCGATCCTTCAATGATTTGGATCTTTTATATGTAATTTGAGGATAATCCTTAATATATTTATTCAGAATTGGGTCACCGGTCAGTAAATGCCAGTGCTTCTGTATAGCATCTCTGATTCTCTGATAATATTCATATGTGAAACACATGGAGTACTGCCAGGAATATTTCAATGAAGCACCCTTGCAGGGACATGAAAAACATTGACAGAAACATGGTAAGCATGTGGAACATGTCCCTGGCACAAATAAAGAGCGAGAAGACTTTTTTTCAATGACATGTCAACCACATTACATTTTTACATTTGTTCCATGGTTTTTGGCGCACCAGAATATTCTTACAGTGCTTTTTCATAGAGACAGTCAGGTTGAAAAATAGTCCATCGAGATCAACCAATGGGAAAAAAAAAAAAATAAATATAAACTGGAAAACTCCATATACAGACCCAATGCCCACAATTGTTAGAGGTAGGCAAAAAAATTCTAATAAAGCATAGTCCAGTTAGCGTCACTAGGGGGAAACATTCCTCCTTGATCCCCTAAGACAAGTGTATATTCCCTGGATCAGTCATCTTTGGTGTTATTACTTTTAAAAGTTAACAGCTAGTTATATTCTGTGTATTTATAAATGCATACATCCTTTTCTTTTTTTTTTTTTTTTTTTTCCCCCCCTTAGGGAGTCTATTCCACATTTACATAGCTCTTACTCTGAAGAAGCCTTTACGTATGTAGAGGTTAAGGAGGAACTTCACTCCAGCGATATTCTTTTCCCCCTGCTCCTCTTATGCACTGCCATTTTCAAATATCCCACATGCACAGAAATGGCGCAGATCTTTGGCAGAGACCTACAGTATTTCTGTGAAAGCATGGGGGATTCCTACACATGTGCACACATGCTGCTGAAATGTGAAACCTTGTGGAGACCCGTGGCATGTGTGCACATGCATCGAGATTTCCTGCACATATAGATATGCTGTAGTTCTTTGCCAGTTCCCAAATACCTTTCAGAGAGCAGCGCCATGTCTAAGCATGCATGAAGTTCTGCTGTGTGAATGCACCCCTCAGGAAAACACTGCAGGAGGCATTGGGGGTCCTAACGGAATTCTTGCCTAGGCAAGGAAGTAGGAATTACTACACTAGCATTACAAAAGTGCTAAAACATTTCTGAAAATGATTAAACATTTTCCAATTCTTGGAAGAACCAGGAGAGATTTCTTTTTTTTTCTAGATACACTAATAACCTTAGACCATTCAGCATCTGTCCCCAGCATGGCCCCTGTGCACATCCATATGCAACTTTACCAATAATGCCTCAGCAACATTACACTGTCCATCAACAAAGTCCTCTTTCAAACTCATTTGTAGATAAATCCTGTATAATAATCACTTCTCACATAGAGACACCGTGACCTTTTAATTTTACCCTGTCTCTCCGGAAGAGCATAGTCAGAAATACTAAAAACCCTGTCGTGAAGAATAAAGCCAAGATTCAGTAATACCAATTACCGTATTTTGCCGGCGTATAAAGTCGTATAAGAATACTTTTCCTGCATTAGTGTTTGAAAGCCATAAACTCTTCTAGTTTGATTGACCAGAATTTCTGCCATTGGTGCCCCAATTGGCATTTTGCTCTTTTTTTTTTCCATCTCTTTAAAACCTGCCATAGTAGTGCCCCATCATTAGTATCAGTGGGGGGAATCCACCCTCTAGTTCAGTGTCAGTGAATGGTGTCCCAACATTGGTGTCAGTGGGAGGAATGGTGTCCCATCATTGGTGTCAGTGTGCCCCATCATTGGTGTCCCCCAATTATAGGGGGGGGGAACATGCATCGATTACCTGTGGATGATTGGCCCTGAATGCAAACAGTCGACATCCAGTACCACTCATTCACAGGTACAGTAAATAATGCATGTTTGATTGCATGCGAATGGCTGCAGTCGCTGTCAGCGCCCATTACTTTGAAGTGGGCTTCTCCACCCCCCCGCCGGTTGAATGGCTCTTCCACACTTAAATTTCAGTCTCCTGCAGGAAAACGTTGTTGGCCACTAACGCAAGTGTGGATGAGGTCTAAAACCCCTGTGTTTTTAACTCCACTTATTCAAATCCATCATAGTTCACAATCCCACTGTGAGCTCTTTTTTTTTTCTCTTTAAAACCTGCCATAGTACTCCCCCATTTTATTCATTCCACCCTCTATTAGTGTCTGATCCCAGGGTCTGCCCCTCCCCCAATATAGGGGGGAACATGCATCGATTACCTGTGGATGATTGGCCCTGAATGCAAACAGTCGACATCCAGTACCACTCATATCACAGGTACAGCTGCATGTTTGATTGATGCGAATGGCTGCAGTCGCTGTCAGCGCCATTACTTTGAAGTGGGCTTTTTCTTAAGTAAATTTCAGTCTCCTGCAGGAAAACTTTTGGCCACTGCAAGTGTGGATGAGGTCTAAAACCCCTGTGTTTTTAACTCCACTTATTCAAATACCTAGTTCACAATTGGAACTGTGAGTTTTGACATATAGATATGGCAGGGTGCTGCCATATTTTGGACTGATAGAACACCTTTTTTAAGACATGACACTTTTTTGCTATTATTGTAAATGTAAAAATGTACCTATTCACTATTGGAACTGTATTTTTTTTTTCAGTTCGTAACAAAGACATGAGTTGGCCAGAAGAAATGTCATTTATTGCAAATAGCAGTAAAATAGATAGACATAAAGGTAAGTCACGAGTTGAATGGTGCTATATCTTTGGGCTTGACTGAAAAATATGGGGTGAAATAACCAAAGTGGTTTGTGCAAACTAAAACTGTATCAGGGCCCGTTCACACTAGAATGCAGTGGGGGAAAGCCACGTTCTAGTACGGTTTCCAGCACCGCATTCCAAACGCACTGCGGTTACCATGCAGTCCGGTTGAAGTGCTTTTCAAAGGTAGTGTATGCACTACTTGCGGTGCGGTGCAACTTCACCCTATTCAAAATAGGAAATTGCACTGCACAGAACTACATGTGAATCGAAAAAGAATCACACAGCATTTCTGTGCGATTCTAATGCAGTTTCTAGTGTGAATGGGCCCTTATTTTTTGTATATGTTAATGTTATTATTATTCACTGATATTATTGGTCCTTCTATTTTGTTTCTACATTTTTAAAGCTACATTTTGTACAGTGGGGAAAATTAATTATTTGATCCCCTGCAGATTTTGTAAGTTTACCTTACAAGGAAATGAAGGGTCTATAATTTTTATCATAGGTGTATTTTAAATGATAAAGACAGAATATCAACCAAAAATCCAGCAAAAACGCATGATACAAATGTTATAAATTGAGTTGCAGTTCAGTGAGTAAAATAAGTACTTGATCCCGAAGCAAAACATGACTTAGTACTTGGTAGAGACACCCTTGTTGGCAAGAACAGAGGTAAGATTAAGGTCTGGAGACTGGCCAGGCCACTCCATGATCTTAATGTTCTTCTTGAGCCACTCCTTTGTTGCCTTGGTGGTATGTTTTGGGTCATTGTCATGATGGAAGGCCCATCCACAGCTCATCTTCAGTTCTGGCTAAGGGAAAAAGGTTCTCATCCAAGATTTTACAATACATTGCCCCGTCCATTGGACCCTCATTGTGGAAAAGCTGGCCTGTACCTTTACCAGTCAAATAGCCCCAAAGCATAGCATTTCCTCCTCTGTGCTTTACTGTAGGGATGGTGTTCTTAGGGTCATAGTCAGCATTTTTCATCCTCCAAAACACAGCAAGTCAAGTTAAAGCTCAATTTTGGTGGTCTCATCTGACCACAGCACTTTCTCCCAATCCTTCTTTGAATCATTTAGATGTTTTTTAGCAAACTTCATACAGGCCTGTACATGTGCTTTCTTGAGGAGGGAGCCCTTGTGGGCGCTGCAGGATTTCAATTAATGGTGGCGTATTATGTTACCAATGGTTTGTTTGGTGACTGTGGTCCCAATTGCCTTGAGATTATTCACAAGCTCCTAGTGTGTAGTTCTGGACTGATCCCTTATTTTTCTCATGATCATCATGAAGCGAAATCTTGCATGGAGCTCCAGACCAAGGGCGATTAATGGTTATTTTGTATGTCCTCCATTTGCGAATAATCGCTTCAGCAGTTGTCTCCTTCAAACCAAGCTTCTTGCTGATGGTCTTTGTAGCCCATTTCAGCCTTGTGCAGGTCTACAATCTTGTCTCTGACGTCCTTTGACAGCTCTTTGGTCTTGCCCATGGTGGTGCCCCTAGAAAGAGATTCTGTGGACAAGTGTCTTTCTTACATGAATTGTAAGGCGCACCTTCTTAAATTGACAGGACTAATCTGTGTACCACATGAGCACATAGCCAGTCTGTGGGAACCAGAATTATTGTTGGATGGTAGGGGATCAAATACTTATTTTGCTCACTGAATTGCAACTCAATTTTATAACATTTGTATTGTGTTTTTTTCTGGATTTTTGGTTGATATTCTTTTTTTCATTTAAAATACACCTATGATAAAAATTATAGACCTTAATTTCTTTGTAAGTGGGCAAACTGACAAAATCTGCAGGAGATCAAATAATTATTTTCCCCATTGTATACATTTTGAGTTATAGAGGTTTCTCTGTCTCTCCTTGTCTTCATTAGAGAAATTCCACTGTCCCCCACAAAAAAAGTGAAAGTTGTTTTTACTAAAAACACAAAACACACTATATGGTGTAATATTGCCAGTTTAACACATTTTGCTAATAATAGCTGATAAGTTGTTCTTACTGTTTCTTTTAGTCCCCACTGAAAAGGGAGCAACGGGCCTCAGCAACCTGGGAAATACATGCTTTATGAACTCCAGTATCCAATGTGTCAGTAACACTCAGCCTCTAACAAAATACTTCATCTCAGGGAGACACCTGTATGAGCTTAACAGGTACTTATGTTTAATATTAACAAAATGTATGTGGACACATCAGAACCTGCAGATCCATTCACTTTTCCAGTCCATTCAGTTTCAGTTTAAAATTGTTTTTTCATATGCTTGTGGTCACATCTTGGCAGACTGGGTCTGAAAATGGCTTTGTGGGGTGTACACAGAATCCCATGCTGGCAAGGTCTAGCCAGAATTAAAACCATAGCGGTAATCATTCAAAGGAACAAGTGCAAAAAGTGTAAATTGAACAATAGTGAAAATGCCAAATTTTGGAACACAGCAAGCAACAAAAGAGTATCCAGTAACCAGCAGTACTTTAATTACACTAATATTAGTGTGAATAAAATCAAAGAATACAACAAATATTGAAAAGGGCAAGATCAAACCATTTATACTATATACAACATATGCTGGAGCATGGCAGGACAGGACTTGGAACAGCAAGGCAGCATGTTTAGGAAAGCCAAGTGTCCAGAGCAATGGGGTAAAGGGGCAGGATGCTTAAGTGCATGACTGCTGTAGAGGCCAAGGTAATTAGAGAGGTAACTAGACTGCAGAGCAACATCTGTTGGTGGCCACTGGCAGATGGAACTGTGCCACTGGCAGGTAAAAGCAGAGATCAGGGTCTGTGATACTAGAAGTAAGTTTTCTTTCAGTCTGTGACCAAAACCTAATAGGAATTCCTTAGTTAATTTCTTTGGAACATTGTTTCTAAATATATAGCATAAATGTAAGTGATCGTCATTTATTATGTACACTCAATTTGCGATAAAGAATACCCAGTTTAGTATAAAGCAATACTTTTTAAGGTGTTTAGTTTCAACTTTAATTTGTTTTTTTTTGGTGGTGGGTCATGATAATGGTATAGAATAATCAGCTAAAGTTTAAAAAAAAAATCTTAATTTTACAGTACAGGACTTGTATTCACAGAACATGCATTATATGCAGACTGCCTTCAGGTGGTTGGACACTGGCAAAAACTTACTAACGTTGTCCTAGTGTGCATTCATAAGTCTCCAATTTTTTAATTTTTTTTGCTAATTACTTTAGAGCAGTGGTTCTCAACCTTTCTAATGCCGCGACCCCTTAATACAGTTCCTCATGTTGTGGTGACCCCCAACCATAAAATTATTTTCATTGCTACTTCATAACTGTAATTTTGCAGTGGGAGGAGTAGTGCCATGTCATTGGTGTCAGTGGAAGGAGTAGTGCCCCATCACTGATGTCAGTGGGATGAATAGTGCCCCATTGTTGGTATCAGTGGGAGGAATAGTGCCCCATCGTTGGTATCAGTGGGAGGAATAGTGCCCCATCATTGGTGTCAGTGGGAGGAGTAGTGCCCCATCATTGGTGTCAGTGGGAGGAGTAGTGCCCCATCATTGGTGTCAGTGGGAGGAGTAGTGCCCCATCATTGGTGTCAGTGGGAGGAGTAGTGCCCCATCATTGGTGTCAGTGGGGGGAGTAGTGCCCCATCATTGGTGTCAGTGGGGGGAGTAGTGCTCCATCACTGGTGTCAGTGGGGGGAGTAGTGCCCCTCACTGGTGTCAGTGGGAGTAGTGCCCCATCACTGGTGTCAGTGGGAGTAGTGCCCCATCACTGGTGTCAGTGGGAGTAGTGCCCCATCACTTGTGTCAGTGGGAGTAGTGCCCCATCACTGGTGTCAGTGGGAGTAGTGCCCCATCACTGGTGTCAGTGGGAGGAATAGTGCCACATCATTGGTGTCAGTGGGAGGAATAGTGCCCCATCATTGGTGTCAGTGGGAGGAATAGTGCCCCATCATTGATGTCAGTGTGGTGGAGGGGAGAATAGTGCCCCATCATTGGGGTCAGGAAGGGGGGGGAAATAGTGTCCCATCGTTGGTGTCAGTGGGGGGAGGAATAGTGCCCCATCATTGGTGTCAGTGGGAGGAATAGTGCCCCATCATTGATGTCAGTGTGGTGGAGGGGAGAATAGTGCCCCATCATTGGGGTCAGGGGGGGGGAAATAGTGCCCCATCGTTGGTGTCAGTGGGGGGAGGAATAGTGCCCCATCGTTGGTGTCACAGGAATAGTGCCCCATCGTTGGTGTCAGTGGGGGGAGGAATAGTGCCCCATCGTTGGTGTCAGTGGGGGGAGGAATAGTGCCCCATCGTTGGTGTCAGTGGGGGGAGGAATAGTGCCACATCGTTGGTGTCAGTGGGGGGAGGAATAGTGCCACATCGTTGGTGTCAGTGGGGGGAGGAATAGTGCCCCATCGTTGGTGTCAGTGGGGGGAGGAATAGTGCCCCATCGTTGGTGTCAGTGGGGGAGGAATAGTGCCCCATCGTTGGTGTCAGTGGGGGGAGGAATAGTGCCCCATCGTTGGTGTCAGTGGGGGGAGGAATAGTGCCCCATCGTTGGTATTAGTGACACAAATGATGGGGCACTATTCCTCCCACTGACACCAATGATACTTACCTTGCTGACCCCTGCTCCAGCCTGGGCTCGCTCTCTCACTTACCTGTCACTGTCTTCCTTCTCTGGCCGCTCTCCTCTTCATCGCTCCGGCAGCTCCCTCGGTCTTCTTTGATGTACGCGCGCTGCCGCTCGGCTCCTCCTCTCCAAGCTCCACCTCCTCGCCGGTGATTGGCCGCCTGTGTGCCTCTCCTGAGCTACAGTTCCGTTGGCCAATCAGCGGCGAGGAGGCGGAGCTGCTGAGCGATCCCGGAGGTGTGGCCAGGTGACAGCAGCGTATCATCCCGCCCACACATCGCCGGAGACTGCAGCGGTGTCTCGGTTCCTAAGACCATCGGAAATATGTGTTTTCCGATGGTCTTAGGCGACCCCTGGGAAATGGTCGTTCGACCCCCAAAGGGGTCGCGACCCCCAGGTTGAGAACCGCTGCTTTAGAGGATAGTCCTGTTCTCTTCTGGAGTAGTATTTTTCTTTTTTTAACCACTTCCTTACCGCACTATAGCCGAATGACGGCTACAGCGTGATCGTCCAGTTCTGGGAGGGCATCATATGATGTCTTCCCAGAACATGCCCCCAGCAGCGCCAACCCGGTGCTGTCAGTGATTGCTGTATTTTTTGGACACAGCTGATCACATGACATGGTAAAAAGGCCAATTACAGTGGCCTTTTACCATGTGATCAGCTGTGTCCATGTAAATACACTTTCCACTTATCGTCAGTACTTTCCTCACACTGTCACAGTGTGAGGAAAGTACTGCCGATAACTGGCAACTGTCAAAGGAGACACCTGCACTGTTAATCAGGGCACTGATTGTCACTGCCCTGATTATCAGTGCTGCCCATCTGCTCCCATCAGTGCTGCCCATCTGCTCCCATCAGTGCTGCCCATCTGCTCCCATCAGTGCTGCCCATCTGTTTCCAGCAGTGCTGCCCATCTGTGCTGCCAGTCAGTGCCCTTCAGTGCTACATATTAGTGTCCATCATTGCCGCATATCAGTGCAGCCTCATCAGTGTCTGCTCATTCAAAGTGCGACAGCTCTGAAAACTGAAAATTGGCCTGAGCAGAAATAGAGTAAAAGTAGGCAAGTGGTTAAACCAACAAATTTTTTTTCTTCTGAAACTTATGTTAAGGACTGGACCCAGACCACACTGTCCCACTGAGAGGCCCAGGTCCTGCATTAATGATCAGGACTCGGGACTCCCGATTCTGAATCACCTGATCGCTGTGAAAGCCTCTGGTTATCACAGTGATCAGTCACTGTGAACCCCGCCCCCGTGTTTTCTCTCTCTGAATAAAGAAGAGAGATGCATTGTTGACACTGCCCTTGTTTGGGTCAAGGGCAGGGTCATTATTGTTTGAGCAGGATTTTTTTTTTATATTTGTGTCAGTGTGTTTTAGGTAGGATTTAAAGAAAAAAAAAATATACACTATTGTTTTTAGGTCATACTATGGGTACAAACAACAATTAACATACACATATATGGTATTGCTGCGATCGTCAGAAGCAGAAACATTTATTTTGAGTTGTTCTTTGATGGTAGGTTATGGTAGTGGCAAGATAAACAGCTAAATGTAAAAATAAAATGTTTTCTATTTTAATCCAGTTTTCCTTTGATTAAAAAAAAATCTGGAGATATCCATTGCCATTTATCACCAAATGAAAGCCCAATTTTTCTTGAAAAAAACAAGGTATAATCCACCTGGATGCACAATATATTTATAGTGATAATATGTACGGTTTTTACTAGCACATGTCAAAGTTACAAAATTGTGCTTAGGAATTAACATTTGTTTTACCCTTAGGCGCAAAGGAGTTAAAGTAGTCTCTTCTTTCCACCTCAGTCTGTGTCCTGCCCCAAAACAATGCCTAGGAAATTGCACTAAACTTCCTGGATGTGGTCAGGGCTGTCAGAGTCTACCTAGCAGCTATAGCCCCTGTTTGCAGAATCCCTATTTGCTTTGCTTCTACATCCTTGTAGGAGGGCATCCTGCTTCCCACTCCACCATTGCCAGGTGGATCAGACAGCTTATTTCCAGGAACTATGCCCTTATGAAAAGTGTTTCACTCTTCTCCATGAGCGCTCATTCCACCTTGTCTCATGGGCTTTTCAGCATCAAACATCTGTATCCCAGATTTGCAGAGTCGTCATATAGTTGTCCACAACTATAGTTGTCTCCAAGTTTTACCAGGTGGATGTTCAAGCCTACTAAAAAAAACTGGGGTGCCAGGAGTGAGTAGGATATCTGAGTGCACACTAGGAGTGACCCTAGCAAGTTTTTATTAGTGTCCAATCCCCTAAAGGTAGTCAGTAGTAGGTAGCATATAACCCATGGTCTATGAATACAATTCCTGTGTCCTGTACTGTACTCTATCATGAGGCATTATGGGTCATTTTTCCTTTGATAAAAAATTGAGGAAATATCCATTAACATTTGGCCCCAGATGAAGGCCAAACAAGCTACAGCTTATGTACCTCTAGATGCCTCAAGGTGCCTCACGATTTTGCATACTCTTAAAAAATACCATGACTGAAAAAGGTTGAAAAATGATGGGTTAAAGGAGCAAATAGAATTATTTTAGAGGTTAAAAGCAATAGGAGGAGAGGTAGTCACATTAATAATTTTTATTCCTTTTTTTTTTTTAACCTTAGAACAAACCCCATAGGAATGAAAGGGCATATGGCTAAGTGTTATGGTGATTTGGTTCAAGAGCTGTGGAGTGGAACTCAGAAGAATGTGGCTCCCCTTAAATTAAGGGTAAGAATTGTAGTTTGTTTACTGAAAATATTTATATATTATTTATTTCAGATGCTTATATAGTGCCATCAATTTATGTAGCTCTTTACATATGTATTATACGTTCATTGTATTATACGTCCCTGTCCTTAAGGAGCTTACAAACTAAGGTTCCTAGCTCACATTTTTACATACGCATACATTAGGGCCAATTTTGACGGGCTAATTAACCTACTAGCATGTCTTCGAAGTGTAAGAGGAAACTGGAGTACCCAGAGGAAACCCACACCTGCACAGGGAGAACATGCAAACTTCAGGCAGGTTGCGCCATAGTTGGGATTTGAACCGACAAAAGTGACCCTTGTATGCCTAAGTGTTTAGTCTCTCAACTCGGAGTTTCAATACGCAGGGCCAAGTGTAACATAGAGACACCAGTGAATCCCACTCGTAATGCTTCACTACTGCAGCCCCTGGCTCCTGTACTAAAGCTACATGCCTAATTACAAATAAAATGTCTATTGAGATTTCACTAAAGTGTTCAGTATTGCTGTCACAAAATGAATACTTTGCGTTCTGTCTCTTGCACACCAGTACCAGGGCTATGCCAATTTTCCCACAAAGATGATGTAGTGTGTGCAAAAGCTGTATTGTTTTAGTAACTGAAAAAGTGTATGAGCTGTATTTTCTGACTTGTATGAGCTCATGTATATATGCAACAGGCATTTAAAAACAAACACTGTTTGTCAAATGATGTTATTCAGTATATTATCAGGTCAATAAACCATAGACCGCTATCAGCTATTGCCATCTTCACTTTCTTATTGAATAGATGCATAGAGACATATTTTTTTATTAAATCATGGCAAGTGATTGTATGATATGTGTATATATAGACATTTTGCTTGGAAACCTAGATATTAATACAATTTTAATTTTTATTAATAATTGTGTTATATGAGCTTGTCTCTGAACATGTTTCCTTTGTTATATTTATGTGCTACAGTGGACAATCGCAAAATATGCCCCACGGTTCAATGGCTTCCAGCAGCAAGACTCCCAGGAGCTACTTGCTTTTCTTTTGGATGGTCTACATGAAGATCTTAATAGAGTCCATGATAAGCCATATGTCGAGCTAAAAGATAGTGATGGCCGACCAGACTGGGAAGTTGCTGCAGAGGTTAGCCCTTGTGTAATCTAGAATTAATTTTAAATTGCCTAACGAAACATGCTCATACAGCATGTGCTTGGAGCTGAAAGTGTACATTCATAATTGAATATTTAAAGCGGTACTAAACCCAAAACCAGAAATGTAAAATATTGCAGCTTACCAATCTTCAGATGTAGTGGCTACATAAGTTTTCTTTTCTTAGGCTTTTCTCCCCTCTGTTTTCACCTGGTGATCTGGCCAGTAACACACCTCCTGTAATAGAATGCCCCCACTCTGGATGAAAGAGCACAGGGGCACCTTAGGACAGCAGCATTGTCAGTCTGGGGGGAGGGGAGTGTTAGATTTACCAGCAAATTTAAATACACTAACAAATTGAAACCAAACGCCAGCTAATACTTTATAATTGGTTACAGCAAACAGATTTTTCCTTTTGGGATAAAGGTTTTACATAAGTAAAAGCTGGTCATTGTAAGCACCCCTGCTAGTGTTAAATGGTTTGTCTCATCTCTGTAACTGATACATTCTGCTGAAGAGGTTTTGAAAAACAAGAAACTTACTGGCCAGATCACCAGATCTGAAAACCTACACCAGAAAGATATCCTAAAAAGAAATTAATGCAGCCATCACATCTAAGAAATTGTAAGGTGCAATATAATAAATATTTGATTTTGGGTTTAAAAGAGAAGTATGGGGTTCTTACAAAATAAAAAAAAAATTATATTCACCTAGATGGATACAGCATCTGTCCCCCACTGCTGATCACTTGGTTCTCAGTCTTCAGTGTGAATAGAGCCAGTGACTCTCTGATTTGCCCTTCCAGAGCTCACTGGAGCGACTAGCTGTGGAGGGAGTGGAAGCGGCTGGTTCAGGCTCTCGGTGACTAGCTGCGAGTCTGAGCCAGCTTGCCGGTCCAGGCATCATGGGTGGATCCCGACTGTAAAGTCGTGATTAATCCAGAGCTTGGACCAGCTGAGTGACACCACGGGGCTAATTTACCAAAGGCTGTTCACTTTGCATTTTGCAAGAAATTGTTCCCAGAGCTTTGTCAATGTGGTGAAATTTCACTTTGCCAAAGAATACCCAATCACATGCAAGAAAAAAAATGCAGTTTGCTTGCACATAATTGAATGATGGAAACCGCAGTGCTATACCTCTTTAACTAAGCTCTAGGAAAAGTCTTTTCCAAAGTGGACAACCTATGTACCTTTTAATAAATCAACCCCCATGGGTCACAGGAGTGCAGAACAAACTGCACTCCTGTGATCCATAGAAGTAGGGCCAAAACAGCTTTGATCCTACTTCTCATTTAATACCACTTTAACTTAAAGAATATTTGCTAGTGTTTCAAGTATGACATGTTTCCTTAATGCTTATTGATCACAACTGATGCCCAGTGAAACGTGGTTCTGTTCAGCTTTTAATATCTGTTCTTACACTATAATTATCAGCAATGGTGATCATTTACACAATGCAGATTATGATATTTGGTCAATATTAGGACCTGTTTTGATGAGCCTCAGGCTGTTTAGATGAGTTTGTTTTTGATATCAGTTTGGAACATTTTTGAGATCATTTAAAATGCGTTGGCAGATGCATTTGACACAAGGTGTTTTGGGCCTGCCAAATTTTCATAGCTGTTACCAGATGGAGTGGCTAGCTCAACAAACCACAAGCAACACCCCTTTCTGGGTATCACTTTAGCCCTGCTTGCACTGCCAGATATCTATAGCCAGTCTATCATGGCTGCCTCTCAAGAGTCGGGGTAAGGTGACCTGTCCAGTCACCAAGCACACACTGAAGAGGGACTGTGAAATCTACTCAAAGCCTGATCTCAACATACCTTCCTCTGATGTCCATCCATGGCTTCCGTCGGCAAGGCTGGACTTTATGCCTTTGCCCTCCAGCCACAGCTAAACACTGCAGTCTAGTGCATCGGGGCTAAACATGCAGTGTGCATAAGGCCTTGGAAACTGTCAGTATGTTTTGCTGTTTTCTTTCCTAGGGGCTAGTTAAGATGGCAGTGCTAAGTATCTTATAAATAATTTGAATCAATTCTGTCTATCTGAATATATGGCGCTGCAGCTGGAACATTATGTTGCCCTGTGCTATTTAAGTCATTTACTTTTGAAAGTGATTTGTTTTTCAATTTTTGCTTCCAGCTAAATACTTGCACATTCAGATTTTTGTTTGTTCCTTGAGGCTGTTTTGTTAGTTTTTGTATGGTTTCTGCAAAGCCAGTAGCATGTCATGGAGCACTTTAAAAGCATTCTTTGTCAGGGCAAATTAATGAGCAGTAAAATAGTTTCTTCTTTTAAAACCGTTTTCATAGTGCTTTTTTTTTTTTTTTGCAGTCTCACTTCATCAGACATATAAACCTGTTTCTATGCAAACATGTTTCCAGACAGCTAATTGCCAGTGCATTAGCATATTATTGTATCCCATAAAGATTGTACATTAAACTTTTACATATTTACTAATGCATTCAACCCATCAATTTCTGATACTCTTCAGGCTTGGGACAATCACTTGAGAAGAAATCGGTCCATAGTTGTTGACCTGTTTCATGGACAGCTAAGATCCCAAGTCAAATGCAAGACCTGTGGTCATGTGAGTGTCCGATTTGATCCATTCAACTTCCTTTCGTTGCCTCTTCCTATGGACAGCTACATGCACCTTGAAATCACAGGTTTGTAAAAATGTATCTTTTTTTTAAAACCAGTACCTATTTGTATTTGTTAGGCTATCAAAAAAATCTTTGTGGAGATTATGCTAGTACTAACATGGGGAGAGTACACTGTAGAAAGCATACAACTGTGTTTGACCCAACTTTAATTACAGTCTTTGTTACACTTACCCCTATTGGCGCTACATTTAGGGTTTTTTTTTTTTGCATGACATATGTTTTTATACCTATTAAACCACAGAGGCGCCAATCATATGCTGTCATTTACTGGTACTATTTTAAAGATAAATTATAAATATTTTATGGATTGCAAAATATTAGGGCCTGTTATGTCGAAGTCACTGGGATTCTATTTGGGCACATGTTGGTCTAAAATAATTTAAAGGTGTAAACCTTGTTGTGCTACATAACACCTTGCTGAGCCTTGGTGTGCTTTATAGCACCTTGCTGATCCTTGTTGTGCTTTTTAAACATCCCACTGAACCTTGCTGTGTTATACAACACCTTGCAGAGCTTTGTTGTGCCTTACAACATCCCTGAACCTGCAAATCCTGCTGCTGCTGTGCCTTACAACACCTTGCTGAGCCTTGTGCCTTACAACACCTTGCTGAGCCTTGTTGTGCCCTACAACATCTTGCTGAACCTTGCTATGCTATATAATAGGTAATTCAGTCTATCCTGAATTCTGCAGCCAGACTCATCCACCTTACTAACCGCTCCGTATCCGCCACCCCCCTCTGCCAATCCCTCCACTGGCTTCCAATTGCCCAACGCATAAAATTCAAATGACCTGATATCCATCTACCACCAAAAACATACTCTCTGCTCCTCACAAGACCTCCTACTCTCTAGTTCCCTGGTCTCTTCCTCCCATGCCCGTCTCTAGGATTTCTCCAGGGCTTCCCCCATCCTCTGGAACTCACTACCCCAATCCATCAGTCTGTCACCTACCCTCCTCACCTTTAGGCGCACCCTGAAAACCCATCTCTTCAGAGAAGCCTACCCCGCCCTCATCTAATTGCTGATCTCCTCCGCTCTTCCCACCACTCCATCACCCACAGCTATTTCCTCCTGTACCACTCTCCCCTCCCTCCTAGATTGTAAGCTCCAAGAAGCAGGGCCCTCGAACCCCTGGTGTATTGTATTGTATTGTTACTGTGCTGTCTCGTGTACTGTCTCCCATTATAATATACAGCGCTGAGCAAACGGTTGGCGCTATATAAATACTGTATAATAATAATATATAAAAGTGAGTGCTCTTATATCAGGAGCTGAAACACTAAAAGGTAATAGCAGTAAACCTAAAATATAACCAAATAAATAAAGTGCAGCGCTAAAAGAATAATAAAATAATATATTTATTATATATATATTATAATATCTCCAAAAAGGTGAATAAATATATCTCCAAAAGGTGAATAGTTCATGTAGTATGTAATTGTGATGATCCACTTCTACAGCAGATTTCAAAAACAGGCTTGTGACAGGAACCGATAATAGAATTGCGCACTCACCAGACGTGCATGGATAATGCACATATAATCAATAACCACCAGGATCTCTTAGGTAGGCGGAATGAATGGGTGAGCTTCCATCTATGGGTTGGTCATCAAGTCTTGGGAAATTGTGGAAAATCTGCTGGGTCCAGAGGTCCTCTTAAGGATGGATGGGTGCTCAGCCTGGATACAGGGCTCCCTCCTTCTAAGTTAATTCGCTCCAAATGGGAGCCAAAAAACAGGTGCCCATAGTGTAGTATGATCAAGTATGTTCAGGTAAATGCACATAAAACGGTAGTAAACTCCAATAACTGTAATGATAAATGCAGAGTTATGCAGCAGTACTGACCCTAGTAAAGATGGCCGCCGGGCTTCCTCGTGGCTCCTACGGCAGTGACGTCACGCTCCTCCTTAGGCCTTTCGTGCCTAGCACATCATCAGAGGGGAGGCTAACCTATATAATACCTTGCTGGGCCTTCTTGTGCTTTACAATAACTTGCTGAGATTTGCTGTGTCTTACAATACCTTGCTGAGCCTTGATGTACTTTATAATATCTTGTTGAGAATTGCTGTGCTTTGCTGAGCTGTGTGGTGTTTATAACATCTTGTTGAGCCTTACTGGAGTAGATTGCGCCCCATTATTGCTGAAGGATCTATCAAGCTGCAATAAATTGGTAAAAACTTGGCAATGAGTAAATCGTCAGAGAGGCTTAAGGAATTTGCAAAGGCATAGAAACAAGATGGCGGACGTAGTCCTCCACATACAATGAGTGGAGGTCTGCCAGCAGGAGATGCTCTCTACTTCAAACACCCCACAGGTGGAAAAAACAAATAAGTATTCAAAAATGACATTAAAGCAAGTGAATGCACAATTAATGGAAGCAATACAGGCAAGCAATGGTATACTGCCAGGAAAATAGACAGTGGATTAATAAGACAGGACATGCAGTAAATCTGGGAAAGAGTAGTTGAAGTGAAAAATAGGATATCCTGCCTGGAAGATGCAGTGTCTCCAGTGAGTAAGAAAATATCAAATGCTGATAGACAATTAACATTATGGCAACAAAAAGCAGATGATTTGGTGAACCAAATGCGCCGTAATAATATAAGGATGTCACGAAGGAATGTTACATACCAAAACCCACTTTAAGGCCACTGATCGCAATGGATTTATTCCGAAGTTGAGTTGCCATCATCCTATGTGGCTTGAGGGAATTCCTAGAGGACAGTTCAAAAGGATCATGAGAAATTGCTCTAAGCTGGAACATTACATCGTACAGTCGGGAATTAAAAAAAAAAAAAGATTTGTGGATAAGGGCTTTGATCCTGTAAAATTAGAAAAAAATAGATCTGATTTAAGTCAAAACTATGTCGATGGTATCCGAAAGAAAAAAAAAAGTTGATTAAAAGAGAGGATAATGTGTTTGAATTTGCATTTATTTCGGATTTCAGTTGTCAATATAAAGAGGTCGATCTGATTATTGGCAGATACTAGCCCATTATAAGAAATGACAAGGTTTTGGGGCCTATGGTACCTAGACGACCTACATTTGTGTATAGAAAATCTTCTAATTTATGGCAGAAATTAATTAAAATATAATTTCTCATTCAAGACCTTTAAGAGACACTGTGTTTGTTTTGAAAGGTTTATATTCTTGTGCAAAGTACACAATATGCAAGATCACAAATGGTAATATTAGGAAAATTGACACCTTCATGTCTAACGTTACACACAAGACATATACCATCAAAAATGTATTTCATGCCATTCCACCTTTGTTGCCTACCTACTGGAATGCCTCTGTGGGGTCCAGTACGTAGGGTGGACATGAGAAAGTTACAAGTGAGACTGAGGGAACATGTCACCAATGTAAAGAAAGATCAGAAGGAGCGTAGTCTGTCCAAACACTCCAAAGAGGTACATAAATGTAACCCCTCATTGTTAAAGTTTTGTGCTATTGATAAAGTAGGGGCACATTAGAGAGGGAATAACCGAACTAGGGAGGTTTCAAAAAATGAAACCTTCTGGATTTATGCATTAGATAGTATGTATCACAAGGGATTAAACATAGAGCTAGTTTAAAATGGTTTTATTTCCAATTTCTAGGGTGTATATTTTAGGCTGCAATTGGGTTATTAATTTTAGGCAGGTAGGGAGTATGTAATTTTATTCTATTTTATTTTATTTATTATATTTCATGTATATTATTTATTTTAATTTTATTTCATTTATTTACTGATGTATATTATGTATAATTTCAGTATGCACTCTATGTATTTGGTTACATTATATAATGGAATATACTTTTGTGTGTAGGTGAGGGAGATTCAAATATTAAGAATAGATTTATATCTGGTTAATGGATTTTTGTCTATGAACACTGGGGGGCAGGTGATCCTATATAATGTTTCATGTCCACTGTGTGTGTTGTTTTATTAACACACACCTAGAGGGCATATATTGACTTTGTTGGAATATTTTATGTTTGTGTCTTACGAGTAGATATTGAGCACAGGTATGGATGCAGTAGCACACACAGTCACGTCTTAATAGATGAGGAACAGCATGGGGATACCGACACTTAGTGTTGTAATAGCACAAGCTGTCCAGTAAACAAGATGGCGAATGAGGTTTCAAGATTAGGGCGGGAGCTCTTTATAAAGCATAGTCCAGAGGCATCCAACGTCTACGGGCTAAGAGGAAGTCAATCTGATGACGAAACACGTTAGTCGGATACAACGTCAGACAAAAATGGAAGTGCCGCGGCTGCTATTTTGGTTCAGGTTGTACTTTTATTTCATGTAAGCTCAATTGTAATATTAAATTGATCATTTTACACTACTGCTGTACTATGGGCTTGTATGTTTGCTTTTATATGGGATTGAGAGTTTATATAGAGCGGGTGAGGAGAAAACAGAGTGAGGACTACACTTCGTTTTGAAAGCACTTATCGATGAATGCAGGGTAAGGTGTATGCCTAAAGGGGAAAGGAAGAGCACGCTGATTTATTTGCACATTGGAGGTGGATGGTGCATGGTTGCACTCTTATTTAAGAGGATAATCATATTGATGGAGAGTGTTATGCACATTTTCACCCTGTTAGGATAAGAGTAATTAGTGTGGATAGTGGTAGATACGATTCACAGTGTCCTGTATTCATGCACAGGTGTATCACGTATTCTATTATGTGTGGAATTACTACACTATATTAGTTTTTTTGCTTTGGAGATTGGGAGCAGTCAAGTAGATGGTCAAGAAGAAAAGATAGAGAAGATCATATGATATGCAACGCATTCTTATTGGGAAGATTCTGGTGGGAATATATGAAGATCTGTGAAGGATTGCTGTGCACTGTTTTGTGTATATGAGAATATAAGGATTGTTGGATTACCGGAAAAAGTAGAAGGTCATAATCCAAGTGTTTTTGTAGAAAAATGGCTGACAAACATATTTCCTGAGGCTGATTTTTGTCGCTTAATTTGGAAATGGGATATTGGGGATAAGTAATAAAAAAAAAAAAAAAGTATCAGAAATACTGAAAAGATCGGTGCCTTGTAGTCCAGAAGTATGCTTGTAGGGAATATTGAATGATAAAGAATGGTCAAGATATGTAAAGATCTTCCTGCAGGAAACATTATTTTTGGCGTGAAAACAAATTGCTATGAGATGGATGCAGAGTAAACTGCCCACTATTAGTCAATTGATTGATGCAGTTAATTTATATTATATCGTATGAAAAATTATGTACGAGTATAGGGGGACCCCCACAGAAATGTCCTAATATTTGAAGTGAATGGTGTAGGGTTGAAATGATTAATAAAGAAGGGAGATAGGAGGGATTATAGGAAAGAAGGAGATATAATGGGATAATAAGTAAAGTTAAGAATTAATAAGATAAGAAATGTAATAAAGTAGATGGCAGTAATCAGGATGACTGTAATGTGACGTTGATTAAATCATTGGAATGAATAAGTAGTTGATGTTGTACAATGAATAGAAAATGTATTGTACTTTGTATCTTAATTGTATAATTTGTAATAAAGAGTATTGGAAAAAAAAGAAGTGTAAGCCTTGTGGATCTAATGATGATCAGCTGGATGGGTATTGGACATAGTGGCCTTGCTTGTATTTTTCGGACTGTAATTTTAGGCCAGTAGCTGAGTGTTTGTACTGATTTTGTGGGTGTTATGCTTGTCATTAGAGGAATCATAAAATGTTTCCTTTCTTTTTATTATTCAGTAAATAAAACTAATTATGCTAAATGTATGTGTGTGTGTGTGGGGGGGGGGGGGGGGCTTTAGGAACTAAAGCTAATTTTGCTAATTTTTTTTTTTAAAGTGATTAAATTAGATGGCACCACTCCTGTTCGGTACGGGTTAAGGCTCAACATGGATGAGAAGTACACAGGCCTGAAGAAACAGCTTAGTGAACTCTGTAGCTTGAAACCAGAACAGATTCTCTTGGCAGAAGTACATGGATCTAATATTAAGGTAAAGGATGATAGGCGTATGCGTTGTACATGTGTACCAAAGAAAGTCTAACATTTATAACCTCGCTGATTTGGAAACCCAAGACAGGGCTGAAAATGCGGTGGAAAATAAAAACTGTGGTTCTATCACATTTCATACAAAAACCTATAATCTTTCTAAGCCTTGTTGTAGCCATCTCTACTTTATAATTTAGCTTCAATTTTGAAAGATCCCATAAAACTGAAATTAGGAATAGAATGTTAGTAAAGGCCCCGCATGTAATGGTGAAATGTAAAATGTACAGTAATTGGTTGCTAGGGGCAATAGCTTCAGTTTTGTTATTGGGATACTTCACATTATTGCCTGTAATAACCATTTTCTTAGAATGGTTCTAATTTCTCTTACTTGTAGAACTTTCCTCAGGATAACCAAAAAGTTCGACTGTCAGTGAGTGGTTTTCTGTGTGCTTTTGAGATTCCAATTCCTGGTTCTCCCACATCAGCCACTAGCCCAAGTCAGCCAGGTGAGTAATCTTATTATTGTTGTCCTCCTTTACCTTTCACATTAATCCTCTGACTATAAATATAAAATGATCACTCTTTGCAATTTTTGTTTAGTATTTGAGCTGTACCTGTGCTCAAGAAAGAAGAGGAGGTCTCAGTGGTGGTTGTCTGGTGGGGGGGGGGGGTCTTGGGCCTTCTGGGCTGTCATGGGTGGGTACAAAATCATTGAGGGAGGGCATAAGTTCACTAGTGAACTTCAGGGGGAAATGTAATGGATATTTTGGGCCTATAATAATTTTTACCTTCATGAACATTATTGTGAACTTTTGATAGGTATCTAAGTCTCAGTTCTAAAGAAATTTCAAGAGCTGGATATTTTTAGAACTGTAATAAAAGAACATTATAAGCCAGCCTTGGAATTCTCTGGCCACCTGGTAGTGTAATCTAACTGTCATGTTAAATAGCACTAAAGGAGTATGTGACAAATAGCTCTGTGGGGGATGCCACTTCAAAGGACTCCATTGAGGTGAGAGGGAAGGAAGGCAGCTGGGACTTTGTCTTTTTAACAGCTGGTGATCTAAACTGACCAGTGTCTTGAGCGCCATCCATTAGAGGTTAAGATATGTGGAAGGGTGTGACTTTACCTGGGCGGGTGAGTCTAGGAGTGGCCTTTGCAAAGAGTATATAACACAAAAGCAAGGACACCCACTCTTTTCTTCTCTTCTCTGGACCTCTTGATCACTGAGCACAACGGGAACGTAGGGTTGTCTGCATAACGTGTCATTGTTCTTTGTTCCTTTATTTCTGTAATTTTATTTCCTGTAGTTGTCTCTATGTATTGATAACATTCTGTATTTACATTGTAATATCACTACTTTTAAAGTTATACCAGCTATATTGATATTTACATACTCTAAAGTGGTGGCAAGCTATGTGTTGAGTAATGTGTAATTAGGCAAAGTCTTTATGTTGTCTGTGCATCCTTCTGTTTGAGGAAAGAGCTCTGAGAAACCTGTACATGAATTGGGAAAAGTGGTTGACTTTCAAATAATATTTTTTAGTATAATGCTCAGTCTAGTTATGAGACAAGGAGTCCTCAATTTCACTGTGATTGAGGTTCCCACACTAATCTGAACATTATAGAGTCTAGTGTTTGGACACCTGGATATTTAGAGTCTGTTCCATTCTAGGAGAATGGAGTTCAGGGAAAACCTGGGGCTGTGCCCAAGTGCAAATCACAGAAGATATATGTTGCGGGAGATTTAGAAAACGTACCACATTCTCTTTTCACTATTGCTGCTTGCTTAGATGATGTAATATTATTCATTAGATCATTAGGATTGCTAGGTCAATAATTACCCCAGCAAAAACCAGTGTGGCAAGTCCTAGTAAGTGACCTAGGAATCAATTCACAAAACTAATAAACAGGATAAATATCCATATTTACAAAAAAAGTGACTGTAATTTGCAGTTATGCCTAATGAAATTACAAAATGACAGTCACATGGCGGAAAAAGAGTGCCTCTACACATTTGATGTGGATAGGGAAATCCTCTCTGCTGTGTCTTTGTATTCTGACAGTGGGAATTTTCCCCACTGTCACAATGCACAGATCAGTGCTGCAGGCTATAGCCAATCGAGCAGCTAAAATTTGACAATGTGGTTAAATAGAAGTTGATCAACTTCTATTTAACCGCGGTGCCTATGCATGGATCGAATTGGGCCAGTCCCTGCTGAACTGACCAAATTTCGATCCATGTATGGGCAATTTTAGGCTGGTGTTAAGGCTTTGTGAATTGAGCCTATGATTCTAGTATCTATTATTGATGCAGTAAATGCAGAATATAATGTATAATATATAATACTTCCATTATTTCATGGTTATGTGCTGTTATCAAATGTATGTTTATGTGATTAATTACGTTTTTGAATTCTGTAGTGCTCATTTGCTCTCTAACAGAAGAGCAGGCCATTTTTATGTTATAGCCATATTTTATGTTTGAACATAATGTATGTGTAATGCAAACAATAATGGAAAAAGCAAGCTTTTAAATTGTGTGCATTTCCCTTCATCTGAGTTATTTGCATTTTGATTATTTTTTGGTTTATTGTTGTGTATATATAGAGTTAGCTTAGCTGAGCCTATAAAATGTTTATGCAAGAAATTAACCTGTAATTTAATTTAATAGTGACTTCACAGTAAGCGGATTACATTAGGTTTGTGTTTACTCGGTTTGCAGATACCAGCACAGTGCCATCATCAAATGGCCCTCATAGTCTCATTGCAAATGGAGTGCTGAATCGGCCACCAATAATCCCAAATGGAATGCCAAATACTGTAGTGCCATGTGGAACAGAGAAGACTGTTGTTGCGAATGGAGTACTGAACGGTCATGTCTCAGTCCACCCTGAGGGCCCTTTCATAGGCTATATTATTGCAATTCACAGAAAAATGGTAAGAGAACACTTGTCAATATTTCCCTTCCATATTGTCATGTTCTCTAACAACAGAAGATGGAGAAGCTAACTGATTGCTATGAAATGCAGGGAGGTATCAAATTGTGTTTGTATTTAACAGTTCAGCAGTGGAATAAGGAGTAAGAGAACAGCCTAAATACTAGCTATTTGACTCTGTACCTTGGAAAGGTTGATCTACCCAACACAGATAAACTCGGCACTTGAACCTGTCAGCTAAACATAACCTTAGTGACCCACCAGGCATCATCCTGTAAGATCCTGACTATTGAGCCCTAACTTTTGTTTCAATACTGTTGTGTTCTAAAACAATTTGTACCTATTTGTGGTAGATTCCCATACATACAGAAAAGCAAGGTCCACAAATCAGAGCTGAAGCTAGGTTTAGAGTTAAGATCAATTAAGACCGAATACCCTTCCCCCTTTCCTCCATTCGGGATTCTGGAATATTAAATTCTCAGTCTGAAGAAGAAAATTTGATTGGCGAGGATTTGTTTTATGGATGTTCAATGCCAAGTCTTTGCAAACACATTTATTTTAACAAGCTTTAGGTACAACTATTGATTGAAGTATTGTCAGTACTTTGTGAAATAGTAGAAGACCATGGTGTACCTATGCTTCCTATTTGTCTTTATTAGAACTGATGAACAGAGGCTTGCATCATTTGCAAGCTAAATTAATTTTAGTGTTTTGTATATGTACATGTACTTATGTGAAGAGCTAGGCGCTAGATTGCTTAATCTCTGTTGAAATGAAGAATAACAATTCATATTGGTGTTCAGGCCCCTTCAGCCGAGAACATGTGCCATCTAGCACTAACGGGAACCCAGAGTAGCATTTTCTCCAGGAAGGACAAGCATTTTACTTTTCTGTCAATATTTCTTTAGACATCCAAGCAAGGAAGTTAACATTACTTTGTGTTAAAGGATAAGTTCACCTTTCATAAAATGTTACATGTCATACCCATATTCAGGGTGTAAAATGTTATGAATGGACCAGCCCCTGCTCCCCCACTTTGAAAGCTAATGGGGGATCCTCTCCTCCTGCTGGCTGTCAACCTTTTTTACAAATTTGGCCGTGCAGGGCTCCACCTACCCAGTCACATCACTCATCCTTTGTGAATGAGAAAAACTACAAGTCCCAACAGCCTTAGTGGCGTATCTGCTGATCACTGATGCAATGCTTTACCTGGAAAAAAAAGTGCATTTATTATTTTTTGTCCAAAGGTGAACCTATCCTTTAACATATAGGAAAGAGATCCACTTTTAGACATTTTTCTGTATGCGCTTAGATGTACAATAAATCTGTGTGAAGAATACTTAGTTTTATAGTAATACTTACTGTACCAACAATCAGAGGTGACAACGGGGATCTTGGCAAGTACCAGTGATATCACAGATTAAAGAAAATGTTATTTTGTGCCCCAAGCCATATTTTCTAGTGTCCTATATTTATTTCATGTCACTGTGTGTTTGTGTTCATCTTTCCAAATGGTGTCTTACTGTCATCATAAGCTTTTGCTTATGGAAATTAATTCACACCAGCACAACTGAGGACTTCACTGTTAGATGTAAGTTAGTTTCTTCAATAAACAATAGCATGCTTTTCTTATGATGATGTAAATTTAAAAATCTCTTTAACTGGAGAAATATAAACCTGACATAGCTTCTATCCATTGTCTGCTCTCTCTATAATGCAGTAGACTGTTTAAAAGAAAATCATATATATAATATTCTCATGCATAACTTTTCTTTTTCTAATATCAAGATGAGAACGGAGCTTTATTTTCTGTCATCTCAAAAAAATCGCCCCAGCCTATTTGGAATGCCATTGATTGTTCCTTGCACTGTCCATACCCGCAAGAAAGATCTGTACGATGCTGTGTGGATTCAGGTCTCCAGACTTGCAAGTCCTCTTCCACCACAGGAAGCAAGCAATCATGCACAAGACTGGTACGTAAATGTAAGGAAAGTAATTGAATGACAGTAAAGGGAAAAGAAAAAATTATAAAATGACCTGTGTATACAAAAACCTTATTAAAGAGGGTCTTCGCCCTCTAAAACAACCTTCCTCCTCCCATCTTCCTTTTTTTTTTTGTGTGTGTGTATTTTTTTTTTTTTTTTACAAAACTGTTTAGCCCTGCCTCCCCATGCAAGTCATTCGACTAGGCAAACAATGTGCAAACTTCCCATTGTTGATCCCCTCATGTTTTGCATTGTATTGGTATTGTTCTGTCACATGTTCTGTCACCCTTTGTAATGTACAGCGCTGAGCGAACTATTGGCGCTTTATAAATACTGTATAATAATAATAATAATAATTGTGCCTTCTGGGATATACACATCACACATAGCCTTTTTATTCAGGAGAGGGGGCAGGCCTATTGGCACATCATTGGGAGGCCTGCCCACCGAACCTGGAATAGCAACAGGCCTCTTGATGGCAGCACAGGACAGAGCGGTGGCAGGGTATGAGAGGATCAGTTGAGGGACAATGTGCAGATAGCACATTCCAGTAAGGGGGGGGGGGGGGGAATAAAACCGGGGTGAGGGTTGGAGATCGGCTTTAAAATTTGTACACCTCTGAAAACATGTTCTCCAACACTTTCATACCCACCGATGTAATGCGTATGGTGACTTAGAACCGCTTCCAGCTGACCAGTATGCCTTGCATCGGCTGCATTCCCCACTCTGCTATAAGCTCATGGTCACTTCAGAGACGATGAACTTATATTAGAATGGTGATCTTGAGCAAATGAATAGCTATGAGCAGTGGGTGACAAGACGCTGATCTTACCAAGTCATTCAAAAAGTGCCCTCCACCATTACTGCATAGACCCACCGCTCTTTCGACACCAGTCCTTCCTGTTGTCTGCCAGCAAACACATAAAGTATATTCTGCACAGCCTTAACCCCCCCCCCCCCCCCCCCCACACCCTCCTAGATTTATTAAATCAATAGCGCCATCTTTTTATTCTACCTATGCTTTCAAAAAATGTCTGGTTTGAGAGGACTTTTACAAACTTTAAAAGGTATATGTGAAAAATTATAATCTTGTGTGCAACCTGATTAAAGGTGTAATCGATATGTGTACTAATAATGTATTATGATACTTGCAATTTAGTTATGTGCAGATGATTGCCATTTGTCAAAATAAGTTATCGTCAGCCATAAAGCATTTTTTTCTTACTTTTCAGTGATGACAGCATGGGATACCAATATCCTTTCACACTGAGAGTGGTGCAGAAGGATGGTAATTCATGTGCTCAATGCCCTTGGTATAGGTAAATGATTAAATTGTAAATTCACTTTCAGTATTTATAAATGTGCTCTTACTGTAATGATGTTGAAGATGTTAACTTCAATATAACTTCAATATAAATATGCTACTAGGTGTCCTTTTCAGTCGCAGATCACAGAGGAGCTTGTGATATGACAGCTACTGCTGTTTATGCAGCACATTTTTAAAATAATTTATAGGATATATTTGGCAAAATCAGTGAAAATAATTAGAGGTGTCATCTTACTGTCATGGAGTCTTTTCAAAATATTGCAATCATGTCACTAGGAACCACTGACAGTTGTTTTATTATGTATGCATGTCATTATTTCTACTTTAAATTTTTTTCTGTTCACACCATAGTAGGAGTTATTTTGTGAGCTGATCCTGTATTATTTGATATTGCGATGCACCAAATATTTAAATTTGCGTAATATGACTCCGATAGATCAGTGATAAATGGTTATAGGTTGCTTTCTTATGAAATGAGTTTGATAGGAAAAATGACTGTTCTTGCTACAGGTGAAACTCATACCAGGTTATTTGAGCAATGCTGCCTATCAGTGAGGGCTTTTTTTACGTGTGCAGCATTTACTGCCCCTCTGAAAAGCAATATGTGGTGGACCTCTTTTCAAAGTCATGTGACCAGTGGCTCAGGAGTGATGTGTCGCCTCCCGGATGACTATTTTAACCACTGAAAGCTTGCAGCACTGCAACCATGTACATTACATGCAGCTGCAGATCACTTGTGTCAGGGCCCTATTCACTGTAATGGGTTGTGTTTGATGATAGTTCCTCCTGTCAACCGTGACATGCTATATAATGTTTGCCACCCTGTAAAGAATTGCACTGTTTAGTTGTATTTTTAAATATGAGCACCTGACTTGCAATGTTTAAAGGAAAACTATAAATCTAAAGGCCAATTGAACTGCTACATTAGTAGTAATAAATATGGGAATCATTTTTTATTTTTTTACACTGATATTTGCTGCAGCAAAGGTTAAAATATCCTGTGCTAGCTAGAGTTCAGTGAAGAGCACAGCGACTTGGCGCACCACTGCCCAGTGCTCTAATCAACAGCACTCACACTCCCAAAACAGTACTGTTGATTGAAGTAGCAGGCAGAGGTCATGTTGATTTTGTATGGTATAGATTGGGTGTTCCATGTCTTTAAATGTAGTTCTTACCTTTTTTATTCTAGGTTTTGCAGGGGATGTAAGATTGATTGTGCAGAAGACCGGGCATATATTGGCAATGCTTACATTGCTGTAGATTGGGATCCGACAGCCCTACATCTGCGTTACCAGACATCTCAGGAAAGGGTAAGATGATCCATTTGAGACTAGATATTTTATTTTTCTTTTAATCCTGGTGTTAAAACAGATTTTGCATCAACAGACAGAATTAAATGGTTAGATTTTTAAGCTGACCATAGAAGGATTGAAATTTTAGATTGGTTCAGCGGGGACTGCCCAAGTGTCAATTGGGGGGGTTACCTGCATCCACCTTGCTATGGCCAGAGGCCATGAATCTTCTCCCAGAAGGGTTTCAGAAGCAGACAACCCGAAACCATATGGAGATATGTGCCCTCGTGCTGGGAACATTGACATTATGGCAATTTGGGTGATTTCTGTTATCATTATGATTTAAAAAGGAGCAAAACAACTATTTGAACGGCTTCATATGATCATCATCCTTCAATAAAAGAGCATTTTTGGCATGATCAGTCATATTTTCAATATCAATGCCAAAATTTCACAGTTCCTGCCAGGATATACAAACTTTTGAGCACAACTATATGTGGTCCTGCATAACTTAACTGTATCTCCTGGGGTATGTTAAGCTACAGTAGAAGATAATCAGTAAGAATAGATTTTCAGATTCCTATGACTGGCTGTGAAATATTAAGCTGTGGTTGTTAAGCCAGTTATTTGGTAAAGTTTCTGTATACTTTTTAAGCGGAAGCACACAAGCAAGTTAATTTACCTTCCGGGAAAATCTGTTAATCACACTGTTAATAACCTCTTGTTTTGTACATGCTACTCAGCCTGCATATGTATTTGTAGTGAATCACAGGTTTTCAGAAAAAAAAACACGTCTACTGTGAATATTTCCAATATGGGTTCTTTTCTCTCTTGTGTACAGATCGTGGAAGAGCATGAAAGTGTAGAACAGAGTCGTAGAGCACAAGCAGAGCCTATTAATTTGGATAGCTGCCTTCGGGCTTTCACAAGTGAAGAGGAGCTGGGAGAAGATGAGATGTATTATTGTTCCAAATGTAAAACCCACTGTTTGGCCACAAAGAAACTTGACCTCTGGAGGCTCCCGCCAATTCTGGTACCTCTTCATTTACCTTTTAATTGCTTCTTTAGTTAAGTGACAATTATCAAATAGTTTTTATCCAGGTATTAGTGAATGAAAACTAATTTCTAAATCATATATTAAGGGGCACAGAATGGATTCATTTGGGTATATTGGATTATGATGCTGTCTTTGGGAGATCGAACACTGCCAGTATAACCCCTTCCACTCCCAGCATGCCTTAGTTTTTTGCTAGTGTTTTAGGAGAATGGATATCTTCTCTCCTTTGAGGGAAGCAAAGCCTTTCAAGATTATTTTTTTTTCTAGCAAGTTTCTACAGTTGCACAGAGTCAGAAGGAACTCATTTTGCAGCTTTCCAGATAGGCTGGTCCTCAGCATTGCCATAGCAGATGAACCTATACCCTGCTGGAGGAAGACGCAGGTCTGGCCTGTAATTTGTCCTCTGCTGAAGGCACTTGCCTAGACACCAGTGTGTAAGGTGTGAGTCCGGTGCAGTACACTTTACAGGTTCAGGGCCATGGTGCACCCATCTGGTGGAATGCTGGCCCTGAAGACTCCCATAAAAGTAACCCACCAAAGAGGTGATGATTGTCAGAATATGCATACTAGCCCTGCATTGGTGCTTCTGTGCTGTCTGTCCACCACAGGGTCCATCCAGATCATCACCACAGCTAGTTACTAGGGCTCTGCCCTACACTATGTAGTTGATGGCTTCACCTCTAGGGTTGTTGGGGCATAGTTAGCTGTGACACATTCATGTGTTACAGGTACCTCTTCCTTGGGACCACACTTTCTATAATATGCTGTGCACCTTTGTGGAATGGCTGCAACACTATTTTAATGTGTCACACACCCCCTATGATTTCTGTGCTGCTTCTGGTCTGCACATGTGCGCTGGCCACTAACATGCTGCACCAAAACTGTACAGCATATGCACTGCATTTGGTCCGTGAGTACTTCTTGCTGGTACCATCTCATCTTCATACCATTTGTACTGTGACAGCCCCTGGTTACCTAGGCACAGAAAGTCATTAACCCACTCCTACTCTACAGTTGCTCCATAATTAACCCTTGCTGGTACTTTCTTACTTGCATATTGTTTATATGTCAGTCTCAGGTGGCTTGGTCTGAGACAACCTTTAACTCCTCTGGTGTTTAACCCTTGCTGGTACTCGTATACTGGTTAGTATGGTGGATAATGAGTGAAAGGGTAGTGGCCTTTTCTAGCATACAGTGCTCTGTTTTAGGCTTTGCATCATTCCTAAAGGCTTTGACATCAAAAGCTAGGATCACTGTCCGCTGCTACAGTCTACATGTTCCTTGTAGTACACACAAGGGTGAAATCATCTTTTTCAGAAACTGTTTGCATCTCACTGCTTTGTTTAGACCTTCCTAGGGGGTGTTGCATACTTATTCCTCTGTCCCCCAGTGACACCATAGGATCTCTCTTGGTTCTGTCAGTTTGTCAAAAGCTACCCTTAGAACCTACCACAGACATTCTTCTACTTTTACACGCAAAGTTGCCTTCCTTGTTGCCATTATCTCTGTGCTGCGAGTTTCTGAATTGGTTGCGTTATCCTGCATAGAACTCTTGTGCTGCACAGACACCAGGTTTGCTTGAGGCCAAAGGCCTCTCTTCTTCCCATGTTGGTTTCTTCCTTTCATTTTGACCAGGATATTATTCTACCTTCATCTTTCCCTGAAACATCTAAAGCTGGCCATATGTAGACTTTTTTTTTTTTTTTCTTTTTTTTTTGGATCAGGGAATTCTCCCTTCTGCTTTGTTGCATTCTGACAGCAGAGACTCCCCACTCTCAGAATACAGTGGTCAGTGCAGTGCTGATCGACGAAAAATTTTCCAACCAGACTGTTTGAGAGCAGTCAATCCTTAGATCAACTACTCTCGTACGGGAATAGCCATAGATGGATCAAAATGTCGTTCCATCTATGGCCAGCTTAAGAAGATTTTCCTCTCTTGACTGGATTCGGTATGCCCTATTGGAGTCTCTTAGCTTCAGCTCCCTTTGGACTGTCTGACTACCTGCTTTCCATTCCTAAAGAACCGGTAGGCACAGCATGCTTCATGTTCCTCTGTTGCCATGTGGGTTCAGTGCCTCATCATTCCAACCGGTAGAACTAGGAACAGGAACTTTTATTATCAAAAGTGTTCTGTACCAGGTCAGTTACTGCTTCATGGGCTTTTCAGCATCATACATCTGTTCCCATATTGCAGAGCTACCATCTGGTCTTTTGTCCCTGGTCTAACTTTTACAAAGTGGACATTCAGACCTTATCCCACTTCTGTTCTAAGGTTCTTCAAGTGGCTCTGTTGATCTCTCTTCTTCAACCTGAGGTTTTTCCATGGGCCTTTAAATGTTTTGTTTGCTGTATCACCCACCTCTCAGTTGGATTGCTTTTGGATGTCCAATCAACCTGAATTAATCCATCCTTTGCATCTTTTAACTTATCATTAGGACAAAAGGATTTTAGACTTACTGAAAAATCCTTTTTTTGGAGCACATTGAGGGACATCGGTCCTCCCCTTTGTTCTTATGATCCACTCATACAATTGCTTGTGAACTTAACTGAGGCATGCTGCAAGTGTGAGTGGTTGTACTGGGCTGTTCTTTATAGCTTTGTTGTCGGTGTCTGAGCTCCTAAAGGCATCCAATGTACCTAAATTAATAAATTGTATCTTTTTAAGTGCTTCATGAAAAATGGATTTTTCGGTAGTCAAAAATCCTATTTATCTTTACTTGGGCTTAGTAGATTTAATATACTACAGTATAGTTCCGTTTTCTCTGACAAACACAAATAACTGTGCCTAATTTTGAAATGGTTCTATTCACTTTCGGTAAAAACCATAATAGATGTACATAATAGAGATAACACGCATGTTGTCATGTTCAACATCACTTGATAGATTTTCTGCTTGGCTGTCTGCAAGGGGAATATGACCTGTGCCATATGCTTGCATACTTATTTTGTGCTTGTCAACTGATTACCCATCTGCATGAAAATCAAAGGACACAGCCAGGTCATGATATAACTTCTCAGAGAATAACAGATAACCCTGACTTGCTGCCACTGGCAACGGCTCAATCTTTACTCTTTTTGTCCTGGGTTTGCAGTATATCTAGAAGACAGTCATGGGAATGTGATAAAGCAGTAATGGTGACAGTTTCCACAAAAACTTTCTATGGATCTGCCCACTGCGCTGTCTTTTTAAAGTAAAGTAGACCTGATGGGGAACTAGTCTCTCAGTTCCCCATTGGGCTTCACCCACCCATTACCAAACTGCTTAGCCATGTGCTTATAATTGTGACAGGTGCAGTGCCCAGAGGGGGGGGGTATGCACTGAGAAAAAAAGAGCCAGTATGGAAACGTCAACCTCAGTGTGGACACTTTCAGTGCTGTGCCCTGACAGAATTGCAAAGGTGCTTATTATTATTATTATTATTATACAGTATTTATAAAGCGCCAATAGTTCACTTAGCGCTGTACATTACAAAGGGGGACAGAACATGTGACAGAACAATAACAATACAATGCAAAACATGAGGGGATTGAGGGCCGTGCTCTTTCGAGTTTACAATCTAGGAGGGAGGGGATGGTGGCACAGGAGGAGATAGCTGTGGGGGATGGAGTGGTAGGAAGAGTGGAGGAGGTTGGCAAGTTAGCAGGGGGTGGGTGGGGTAGGCTTCCCTGAAGAGATGGGTTTTCAGGGTGCGCCTAAAGGAGAGGAGAGTAGGGCGATAATCTGATGGGTTGGGGCAGGGAGTTCCAGAGGATGGGTGACACCCTGGAGAAGTCCTGGAGGCGGGCATGGGAGGAGGAGACCAGGGAACTAGAGAGAAGGAGGTCTTGTGAGGAGCGGAGTGTGCGTGCTGGGTGGTACTTGGATATTAGGTCAGTGATGTAGTTCGGGGCAGTATGGTGGACGGCTTTGTATGTCAGTGTTAGGATTTTGAATTTTGATCCGTTGCGCAATCGGAAGCCAGTGGAGGGATTGGCAGAGGGGGGTGGCGGAGATGGAGCAGTTGGAAAGGTGAATTGAGTCTGGCAGCCGTGTTCAGGATCGACTGAAGCGGGGATAGCCAGCGGCGAGGCATTATTATTGTCTGACTCCTTGTCTCTGGGACAGGATAGAGATTAAAAAGATAATGTGATTGGTTTCTCTAGGCATCACAGTTTCAACATGTGTATTTGAGACTACCAGTAAAGAAAGAGGATATATCAAAGGCGTCATGTACAAGGCTAGTTTGGCCCATGTGTATTAAATCCCAACATTTTTGGGTGGCTGGAGGGCACAGGTGTACTGTTCAGCCCTGCTGCCAGCAGCTTGTTGAGATTCATGATAGGCTGAAATATGTGGTGTCTGCACTGTCTACAAACAGTGCTTCTGCTTTTTCTTTGCTTGATTTAGACCAAATGTTGTATAGTTTAAATGGTCCTTTCATTATGTTACAGATTTAGTTTGGATTAATTTGTGGTAATTCTCTAATAATTCAAAGCATTTCTCAATCTCAGATTATCCATTTGAAGCGTTTCCAGTTCGTTAATGGCCGATGGATAAAATCTCAAAAAATTGTCAAATTTCCAAGAGAGAAATTTGATCCAAGTGCTTTTTTGGTACCTCGAGGACCGATACAATACCAGAAAAAGAGAGCCAAACTTCAAGTTGATGACCAGGCTGAGCCACGATTGACACATTGTGACCAGAAGAAAATGGAATTGATCAACCCTGCTTCTGGAGAAATAGATGCGGTCAGCAAAGTACAACCAGTCATCAGTTCTTCTATAGCTAATAGTAGTAAAGGTACTGTTATTTACTCCTATTTTTTTTTATAATTAGAATATATAGTCCCTCTTCTGCATAAAACTGTTATACTAGCATTGAAGGCCTGGCCAGTTCCCTGGCTGTATAGTCAACCTGCAGCTATATAAACGTAGATTCTACCTGAACGTCATGCTTTAGATCTTCATTAGAACGAGTGCCTGGAAAACCATCTAACCCCAGGTATTATTGCAGATACTTGGGTTAGTGATTTTTTTTTTATGTCGTATTATCACTTTTTTTTTTGTTTTTTGGGGGTTTTTTTTGGCTTTTCACATTTTTTATTTGGACAGTGGGTATACTGAGTTGGGCTGTTAAATAAGATGTGAAGCTGCTTTTCACTGGCTAGTTTGCAGTCTGAACTAGTTTGCAGTCTGCATTCTTTAACTGTAGGGACTAAAGCTTACTCGATGAGGCATTCTCCTATGGGGTCCATTCTTGCCTCAAAATAATGTACTGTAGATGTATATGTTGGTGGTGAAGAGGGTACGTGCACACTCTGTGGTGAATTAAGGCACAACTGAACTTTTAAGTTTAATCAGTTAAATGCATTCCCAATGCATCAAAACAAAAGGTGTTCAATATATTCCAGTTCATTTTCTTTCTATAGCTGTTACAGCCTGAATATACAAGCCTTTCCCCAACTGACTGCTTCAGAGTTGGGACCCTTGCTCTCTGTAAGGAAGTAGTGGTCTGTAATTCTGCAATCAGCAAGCTCTTGCTCTCTACTGATTGGGAAACTGTGGCTCTGACTCAGTAAGTGGCATGCTGGACCTCTGCAAAAAAAATCATTACTTTCCAACAGGGAGCAAGAGTTCCACTGTGGAGCTGCTGGCAGGACACAGGCTTTTGTACTTGGGCTGTGGTTGCTTTTTTGCTAGGGCGCAAATTGGGCACGCTCTGTGACCACTATGTCCATTGGACACGTGATCACAGATCGGGGTAAAGGGACACTTACTGTGGCCCTTTACCATGTGATCAGCTGTGTCCAATTGCTGCTGATCACATGTAAACAGACTTGCCAGTTATCAGCAGTCCATTCCTCACACGCTGTGTCTGTGTGAGGAAAGGAGAGCCGATAACCAGCAAGTACATTGTTTACACTGATTATCAGTGCCATACAGTGCAGCCTCATCAGTGCACATCAGTGAAGAAGAAAAATGCTTATTTGTAAAATATTATAACAGAAACACCCCCCCCCCCCCCCCGAAAAAAAATGTTTGTCTTTTTTTGCTTGTTTAGCAAAAAAAATATAAAAAGCCAAGCAGTGATTAAATACCACCAAAAGAAAGCTCTATCTGTCTCAAAAATGATAAAAAAAAAATTATTGTGGGTACAGTGTTGCATGACCGTGCAATTGTCATTCAAAGTGCGACAGCACTGAAAGCTGAATATTGGTCTCGGCAGGAAGAGGGTGTGAGTGCCCAGTATTGAAGCTGTTAAAGAAACATGGAATGCACTTGGAATGTATGTAGCTAATTTAAACGGAAGGTTCTTTTGGCCTAAGGCTGCTTTCACACTGAGGAGTTTTTGAAGCGTATTTGTGTAAAAAAAAAAACTGCCTGAAACTGCTCAATAAAACTGCTTCCCTGTGTTTGTGAATGTATATCTATGCATGTTTTCACGCCAAAGCGTTGCGCTTGTGGTGCGGTGTAAAAACTCCTGCTTACAGCATCTTTGAGGCATGTTTGGGGAGTTAAAAAAAAAACGCCTCTTCCCATTGAAATGAATGGTAACGCCTCAAAAACTCTTCATAAACGCTCCAAAAAAACACACCGCACATGTGGGAAGGTCTGAGCTAAGCTTACTGAAAATATCAATTCACTATTGCTAGTATGCGGTATTTACAGAAAATAGCAAAAACACTCGGCAAATACCGTATAAAAAGACCTTAAAGTCAATTCACAAAAGGAATAATTAAATGCATGCGGTAATTAAGTAGTGGTCCAGGTTTGCGGTATGTACTGTATCTGTCAGTACTGTCATGGGTTGTTAAGGAATGGGTGGTCGCCAAATCCCTAACCACCTATGAGTAATCAGCTGTCAGCAGACTTCCCCACTGACAGCTGAATGTAAAAAAAGAAAAGAAAGAAAGCCTGGGGCCCCCCCCCCTCCATCCATGCCAAGCCCTTTGGGTCTGGTTAGGATTTTGAGGAGAACCCCCATGCCAAAATGTAAAAGAAAAATAATGTGGGGCGTCCCCCAAAATCCTGGCAGGTCAGGAAAGGGGGGAACGAGCGAGCCCGCCCCCCCGAACCATACCAGGCCACATGCCCTCAACATGGGGGGGGGGGGGTGCTTTCGCGCATGTTGATGGGGATGATGTGTGTGTGTATGAATGTATATACAGTTGTGTTCAAAATAATAGCAGTCAGACATCACTAACCTGATCAATCACTGTTTTTGGTAGAAATGATATTTCTATATGGCAAATAATTTACTAGCAGGTGTAGTAGAGTAATAGAAATCCAACAGACCCAACAGTCATGACATGCATGCTGCTGATTCTGTGTAATTGAATCACAAATTGAAAGGGGCATGTTCAAAATAATAGCAGTGTGGAGTTCTATTAATGAGGTAATTTGCCAAAGAGCACATTGACTGGCCTAAAGAGAAATGGCGCAACATTTTGTGGACTGATGAAAGTAAGATTGTTCTTTTTGGGTCTAGTGGCCGGAGACAGTTTGTCAGACGACCCCCAAACACTGAATTCAAGCCACAGTACACTGTGAAGACAGTGAAGCATGGTTGCGCAAGCATCATGATATGGGGATGTTTCTCATACTACGGTGTTGGTCCTATTTATCGCATACCAGGGATCATGGATCAGTTTGAATACATCAGAATACTTGAAGAGGTCATGCTGCCTTATGCTGAAGAGGAAATGCCCTTGAAATGGGTGTTCCAACAAGACAACGACTTCAAACACACCAGTAAACATGCAACATCTTGGTTCCAGACCAACAAGATTGACGTTATGGAGTGGCCAGCCCAATCCCCGGATCTTAATCCAATAGAAAACTTGTGGGGTGACATTAAAAATGCAGTTTCTGAGGCAAAAACCAAGAATATAGAGAAGAACTGTGGAATGTAGTCCAATCATCCTGGGCTGGAATACCTGTTCACAGGTGCCAGAAGTTGGTTGACTCCATGCAACACAGATGTACAGCAGTTCTCAGAAACAGTGCTTATACAACTAAATATTAATTAAGTGATTCAAAGGAAAGCAAAATCTTCAAACATTTTTCAGTTTATATAGTGAGTGTTTGAGTTTGTAAAGAAGAATACAAAACACTGCTGTTTTTTTGAACAGTCTAATATTCACTTTTCTTAAATTTTTTTTTAGAGGAACAACACAAATTTGATCTATTTTTCATCATGTTTTGATTTGGAATAGAATGTGTAGTGTTCCCAATGCATTTGTGTGTATGGAAATAAAAACTATTAAAAGGATTTTGAGCTTTGTTCACTTTTTTCAACACACTGCTATTATTTTGAACACAACTGTATATATATATATCTCAGTCTATGTTTCCCTCTTAGCTGCCAGTGTCTCCTGTTTATGTTTTTACCTACATGCAATTCTAATATCAGAATTTTCATAGATAAGGCCCAGGAAGGTGTATATATAGAGTAAATCTATGGCTAAACTGCTAATGTATATGCAGTAAAGGCACATACCTACTTCAGAATAGAGGTGGTTTATTTTAGCTGCTCTGCATAGGAACACATCAAGGTTTTGTCAGTCTTTTGCAGATATATAGTTTTATTAACTAGCTGTAACATACATTATAAACCATGTATAATAGAACAACCATTTTCGTTAATTTGTTATGCTTAAATGTTCAGTTTGGATAGTGATTTAAAGTTGGCTTGTTTTACAGCATCTCCATCCCAAAAAAGGAAAGTGTCTTCAAATTCCTCAAGTAAAAACAACAGTCCCAACCATAGCCCTAGATCCCTTGGGAGAGGTAAAGGCCGTCTACGTTTACCGCAGCTTGGAGGCAAGAAACTTTCAAGCAGCAAAGAGAATTTGGATCAAAGCAAAGAAAATGCACAGATAGTGAGTCAAGAGAGACTGTGGATCAGGTAGACTCAAGTAAAGGGTATGTTTTAAGTGGAAGTCAAACTGAATTAGCCATCAGTCAGGACTGTGAGGTGGCTTTTAACCAATGGACTGGTTTATGAGCAGAATCCATGCAGCAATGGTCAGCTTGACAACCACATGGCTGAAGAGGAGGACATCACTGATGACCAAAGAGACGACATCTGCTGTCAGCCTATCTATAATCTTTATGCAATTTCGGTAAGCTGAGGTCTTTAACTGGAATACAGTGCACCATTTCTATCTTTTTGCATCCCTGTATTTTTTGTGTACTGTGATCCCATCATAACATTAAACCTGTGATGGCAGTAAGCAATTGCGGTAGGTTTTTTAGAACTCCAGCTTGGAGCAGAAGGTTTCCATTTGCATATAGAGCTCCTATGTTTGGGTTTGCAGAGATTTGGTAGGCAAGGGGTATATACAGGTCTTTTTTAGGTCCTGCGTTTATTTTGGTAAGTTGCCCTCACCATTTTTAATTCATGACAGGATTGCATTATGGGTTTTTTTTTTTTTTTTCTTGATAGCTAATGGGTTTATGCAGGTCAGTAAAGTAAGGCAGTCATGTAAAGACTCATTAAACTGTACTATGTTATTTTATAAAAAATAAGTATAGAACATTAAGTAAGAAATCACATTAACTAAAAATTAAGTAAGAATATAGAACCATCCCATAAAATTAAAATAAAAGTAGAAGAGATTATTCACCAAAGAAATTGAGTCTTGGTTGATGCACTAATAAGCACCAAGTATTAAAAAAAAAAAGGTGTCAGTTTATTCACAGTATGGAAGATCCACTATGTTAGGTTTCAGCTTATCTATTAATATGAGATTTGATTCACTAGTTAAAGATTAGGTTACCCCAACATTTCATTTTCCTGATATGTGTTTGTTGTGCCATGTACTTGTGTTAAAATGTATCCGTTTTTCATTGTATTCCTTCCTTTGTCTGAAATACCTGGTGATTCTGTTAGTCCCCTGCTTTCCTATTTCAAACTGACCGCTAAGCATGAGAGCACATCCATCCAAGCCTGGTCAGTTTTTTGGCTGTGCTGGGAGAACAGCCTGACTGTCTTCCAATTGTCAGATTTTTGCTGACACACCTCCTAACACAGACATTCACTGGTAAGATCAGAGTGTTTTGCCTTTCATTTCTATTTCTAAATAGAATGGGTTGTTTTACAAGGTAAGGGTTCACCTATACTTTAATGATGATGGTCCAAGCAGCTTAAAATGTGAGGTTGAGTTTCTTAGACCTGGGTTATAAACTTAACACTTAAAATTATTTCTGTAAAATTTGCTTAAAAGTTTAATGTAACGTTTAAAAGAACCAAGTCATTAGTGCTAAATTGAAAACCCTAGCAATGAACTTCTCGAACTGGCTGCCTTTTTGGTCTGTTAAGTATACCATATCTGTTTATGTGCAAAATAACTGTTGGTCCTGGCAGAAATCTCCTGCATCATGTACACTCTGTAGTGTTATCTGAAGCATTCTTTTCAGCCCTGGTAAACCACACAGAGGTTGCCTCTGAACTATGGAACATCTCTTCCTTATGTTTTGGAGCTGAGGAGAGGGGGACAATGTCCCATGGTCCTAACACTTCTTGGCCTAGGGTGACAATGCTGCTTCTCCATAGATAATGTACAGCAAGTGAGCATTACACCCTAGGATAGGAAGTGTGTTACTGGCAGGATCAGCAAATGAAAATAAATTAAAAAAAAAACTTGCATGTGGCACATCTAAAGACTGGTAAGCTCATATATACATTCATTTACTATTCTTAGGTTTATATAAGGCATTGAAACCTCCACTGACATTTACGGTTTTGAGGATAATGCCATTGTATGTACTTTTTTTCTTTAGTGCCATTCAGGAATAATGGGCGGAGGTCATTATGTTACTTATGCCAAAAATCCAAATGGAAAATGGTACTGCTACAATGACAGCAGTTGTAAGGTAAGATATTTTTTTTAATTCATCTCTTAACACAATACATCATTTTATCAGGAAATATTTCAATACTGCAATGAATTACTATTCCACATTGTATTTTACTAAAAACACTGTGCTTAGACACTTTAAATTGGCATTGTGAGCTTTTGCTAGCTATGAAAACAGGCACCATGTATTATTGAGAATATGCTGTACACTGCATATTAAAGGAAGATATTTGATGAAATTATGAAATTATTGTATTGGTCTACTCCTAATGTATAAAACTTTGTAAATTGATAAGCCATAAGGTTGATTATCTTATAGCCCTGTAAATGCTAGCTTTCCCATACTGAAAAACCTAAAGGGAAAACACTGACCTGCAGTCAGGCCTGTATATCTAGCTGTTGATTCCATTTATAGGTGCATCCCCTTGAAAGAGACTCTGTTGCCAGGAAAATTATTTTCAACAATCTTCCTCGAAATGATATGTTTATTTAACATATTTTATGCATGTTATATACTTGTAAAAGCCTCCCTTGTTTTGGCATCCAAAGTCCTAAGACTGCTGCTGAGCCTTATCATCTTGATGTGATGTCAGCAACTCTCCAGCAAACTCTGAGCTGTCACTCAAGTGACATTCTATAGTAATACCCTTTGCTCTTCCCATAACTCCTACAAATAAGGTTATGTAGGGAGGGGAGGGGTGGAGGATAACTAGATACTCCAGAGATGAAAGGGCTATGCTAGGGAAATGACTCTTTAGAAGCAGTCAGATATGCCAGCAAGTTCATAGGTACATTCAAGTCAATAACAAAATGTTATATGTATGTGTGTTTCCATTCAGACAGCATGCCTAAAACTATTTATTTTTTAATATTTCTTGCATTACTAATGTTTCTTTGGAGAAGGCCTTTGGGCAGACCACAAGCTACTCTAAACAATTTCAAAGTGAGTCTGTTCCCCACACAGTGGGGACGAACTGATCTTCCCTGTGTTAACATGCAAGCTTCTAGATCTTTAGCCCTTGTTGGCACAGACTGTGTCCAAGTCTAATTTACAACTGATAATGAGATCTGCCATCACAGTACATACAGGGTTAATTATGGTAAACATTAACTCCCCAGGCTCCTTCTCAGCATTACATCGCAGAGGGAAAACAACATAATTTTTTGAGTTTTCAGAAATGAGCAAGTAAACTGTAATCAGCAGTTTTAAATGGTTTCTAAGTTATACTATGTGAATGGGAACATGTAGCAAATATAAAACTAGGTGTTATCTAAATTTGGTTGCAAAATTGGAAATCCATTTTAGAGATTTTCATAACACAGTTGAAGGACTTCCTGATGTTTAGGTTAGAAAGTTGAAGGACTTCCTGATGTTTGGGTTAGAAATGTTAATTATGTTTAAGTAAATCTAAAATATGAGAAATGTTGCTGAACTCTACTTTTGAAAAGGCTATTCGCCTGACTGTCAGGCTAATGCAATGACAGTTCTTTGTGTTAATGCCCATAAACAATTATGTGGGTCAGGTATTCTGTCAACCCTTTTTCTAGGTCAGTGGCTCAAAAAAATGTAGAAGTCAGTCAGACGAGTACCAATTGCGTAAGAACATTTTCAGTAGTAAAATCAAAGTGAAAAAATTATGCAGCAGGCTAATCCATTTTGCTGAAATTTCATTGCAGCAACTCAAAATGGTACTACGTAGTTTGTATGGCCCCCACGTGCTTGTATTCATGCCTGACAATGTCGGGGCATGCTCCTAATGAGACGACGGATGGTGTCCTGAGGTATTTCCTCCCAGATCTGGACCTGAGCATCACTGAGCTCCTGGACAGTCTGAGGTGCAACCTGGTGGTGTCGGATAGACTGAAACATGATATCCCAGAGGTGTTCCATTGGATTTAGGTCAGGCTAGCGTGCAGGCTTTCAATGGTATCAATTCCTTCATCCTCCAGGAACTGCCTGCATACTCTCAGCACATGAGGCCGGGCATTGTCATGCACCAGGAGGAACCCAGAACCCGCTGCACCAGCATAGGGGCTGACAATGGGTCCAAGGATTTCATCCCGATATCTAATGGCAGTCAGGATGCTATTGTCTAGACTATAGAGGTTTATGTGTCCCTCCATGGATATGCCTCTCCAGACTAACCAACCACTAAAATGCTCATGCTGAATGATGTTACAGACAGCATAACATTCTCCATGGCTTCTCTAGACACATCTGTCACATGTGCTCAGGGGGAACGTGCTCTCATCTATGAAAAGCACAGAGCACCAGTGGTGGACCTGCCAGTTTTGGTGTTCAATGGCAAATGCCAATCAAGCTGTATGGTGCTGGGCAGTGAGCACTGGGCCCACTAGATGACATCGGGTCCTCAGGCCACCCTCATGAAATATGTTTCACACCAGTGGCCTGCTGGAGGTCATTTGGTCACTGCCTCTGGCAGTGCTTATCCTGTTCCTTGCACAAAGGAGCAGGTACCTGTCCTGCTGATGGGTTAAGGACCTTCTATGGCCCTGTCCAGCTCTCCTAGCGTAACTACCTGTCTCCTGGAATCTCCTTCATGCTCTTTAGAATGTGCTGGAAGACACAGCAAACCTTCTGGCAATGGCACGTATTGTTGTGGCATCCTGGAGGAGTTGGACTTCCTGTGCAACCTCTGTAGGGTCCAGTTATCGCCTCATGCTACCAGTAGTGACACTGACCCTAGCCAAATGCAAAACTAGTGAAAAACAGTCAGAAAAGATGAGTAGGGAAAAAAAATGTCAGTGGCCTCCACCTGTAAAACCATTCCTGTTTTGGGGATCATCTCATTGTTGCCCATCTAGTGCACCTGTTATTAATTTCATCAACACCAAAGCAACTGAAACTGATTAACAACCCCCTCTGCTACTTAACTGACCAGATCAATATCCCAGGAGTTTAGTTGACTTGATGCTATACTATGATTAAAAAGTGTTCCTTTAATTTATTGAGCAGTGTATTTCCCTCAATATAGGTTTCCTCTAAGTAAAAGAAAAAATCATTACAATTGGGTTATATGCCACTATCC